CCTCAACTAGGCTCTATTACACCAGAAAACCTTGATTCTGCGAAGTCTCAAGTTATTTCGCCGGATCCAAATCTCTCAAAGTGACACTGAATCACTGAAGCTACCATGGAAAAAAACAACAAAAAACAAAAACAAAGCAAAACGAAACCCAAAGCTCAAAGCCTTGCAATGCAAAGACTATGCCTGTGAGAACCTTAAAGCCTAAGCAGACAGAGGGTTGATACCCGAAATAAACCCCTAAGAACCAACAAGTCCCTGAAACTTAAGGCCAAACACCCCTATAGGCCCTCAACCCCAGACCGAATCCCCTGAAGTCCGGAAATACCTTGAGTAAAGGTGAAGGATGAAGATTTAAGGCTCAGGGAGCGTCCCTACAAACGAATCTACACTCAGACTTAATTAAACGTAGATTCAGACCGCACATCCAAAAGCATTTCGTGGTACTTTGAGGTTACCTACGCAAATAAGTGCCGCAAAAACCGGCGAACACGAAAAAAGTCCCCGACGCCTCCAGTGTGCTGGGGCTCTTCTTCGGCTTCTCCTTGGGCGTGGGGACCTGCTCGGGTGCCATTGGAACAGGGGGTGGGACTTCACGGCGCAGCATCCCAGAATCTATATCTATTTATCTATATCTATATCTATATCTCTATCTCTATCTCTATCTCTATCTCTATCTCTATCTCTATCTATCTATCTATAGATAGATAGATAAATAGATAGATAGATATAGTGTTTCGGTTTCTGGACGCAAGGGGGTGCTAGGAGCTAAGGTTGAGATGCCGGGTTTCTCAAGACATCCCCGAAACTCAGTGCGGAGCAGAGGACAATGTCATTTCTTGCTTGTTGCGGCTCGTCGGTGTATGAAGTACCTAATTTCTGCTCCCTAAACCCTAAACCCTAAACAAGCCTTTTAGGATCCTACATATATATATATATATAAATAGTTCAACCAAAAAAGGACTACACTGGAGACTATAGGCAGTCTGGTATCTCTCAGGTTCAATTTGTAGAGCCCCTCCGGCCTTCACTGCCGGCGGCGCCGCCTCGGCCACTGGGTCGGGAGGCAGCTCGCGTCCCTGCACAGGAAGGCTTCGAGGCGCTGGTTTTGGTGGAACGAATAAAATATAGATATGGGTAGTCGTCTTAATTAGGGTCCCTTAGAGGGTCCTTATTATGAAGGTGCCGTACAAAATTGGGTACCGAAAAAAAAGACGCTAATTTAGAAAAGTACCCATATGCCATAATATGACTTACCATTATGCCTACATTCATTGCGACGATTCTGATATTCTCTGCACCAGTGTGCCGGAAGCTGGACTTTCAGGACTCGAGCTCAACTGGCTACAGCTTGCTACACTCTGAGATTTTTTGTTCTGAAGTATCGAGATGCTTCTCACATCAGTTAGTGAGGCTGGTGTGTTCGGTCGGGGAGAAACAGTTGCACCAAAGGCTCTCCAGCGGTGCGGAGTTGGTGGTTGCTGGATTAGGGTGTTGAATCCTCTTCTTCTTCTTCGGGTGGAGGCTGAAGGTTCAGGGTCCATCTTACCAGGACCCTCCAAGTACCCTAAATAGGGGTATATGGTCCCACATTTAAAGGTATTTAGGGCATTTAGGGTCTGATAGAGGGTAGATGGAGGGTCTATGCATGTAAATCCCTAAGGCCTGCGATACTCTTCGAAGAAGCCTCCCCCTGTCGGCTATGGGCTCGAGAGACATGGGGCCTCGGTGGGCTCAGACGGGGCAAAGTCCCATTCAAAAGGGACCCTTGATGGGAAACCGCATGCAAGTATCGTCAAAAGCCCATGAAACGACATGGGGATTCGATCTAGAGCGGCTTCCGTGCCTCCAGTTTTGCCATTGCCCGATCGTAGGCTTTGTTCAGCGAGCGAAACCTGTGCACGGACATCATTCGGAATTCATACAGGCCTCAGGAAGCATACTTTGGGCGACTACCCTGCATGCGGCTCATGACGGCAATGTACCTGTGGAACTTAGAAACAAATCGGATTCTATGTCTATGTGTCTTCAAGTGCCAGTGGGTATGACTTCCTCATATCATCGAGGCCACGGCTGCTGGACAGCTCGAAGCTGCGCACACGATGGCTGAATTGTGCCCTACAAAATTCGCCAGGCAGTGTGACGACTGATTAGTCAAAGGGCTTGCTAATTGAAACTCCGAGTAGCCAGATCCTAGTAAGCCCAAGCCCCTGAACCCGGAGTCGTAGATCCTAAACAGAGACTCTAAACGCTGTTTTAAGGTCTACAGGACTCTGGTAGGAATTGCTATGATCTGAATTTGATGGGACTCATATCTCATGTAAACAAGACTCAGAGCCCTTACCTGGTTCCCTGTTGGGGCCATAAAAAAAAAGATCATTTTTAACCCTAATTATTGTTTCTATTGCAACGAAAATGTAAAATTGTATCCAACAAGGACCCAGTTACAAAACCCGAGAACAAAAAAAAAAAGCCCTGGGCCGGGCCTCTCTGGGTCTCCTCCCATGTCGGGGTGGGCGCCTCGCACGCGCGCTCGGAAGGCCCTTCGGACCTGCAGGAGGGTTTTAGTTTAGGGGTTTAGGGTTTGGGGTTTAGGGTTTAGGGGTTTAGGGGTTTAGGGTTTAGCGGTTTAGGGGTTCAGGGTTTAGGGGTTTGGGGTTTAGGGGTTTAGCGTTTACGTTTCTTCTTAGATGACGTAAGGACTTGAAAGACTTGAATACTCCGGTTAAGTAAGGCCTCTATGTCTAGGGCTCTCTATGTCCAGGGTTTGTAGGACTTCAGGCAGTTGTGGAAAGAGACTGTTTAGAAAGAAGGCTGCTGTGCCTGAGGCTTCAGAGTCCTGACGGTTCAAGGTCCTTGGAGTCAGTTAAACCGTAAACCCTAAACCCTAAACCCTAGGGCTTGAAGGGCCCTGAAGCTCAGAGTTCTTAGGCTTTTCGGGCTTTTCGAGTTTTCAAGTTGAGGGTTCTGTTCCGGATCCTGGGGTTCTCATAAGGCTCCTGTGTCAGCCCCCCGCCGAACCTCAAACCCTCTATACTGAAACCAAAACATCCGAACCCTCTACATGGGTAGTTCTTGTAATCGGGGGTCCCTTTTTGTGTCCCCAACATAGTACGGCACCCGTAGACAAAAGGAGCCCAGAAGGGACCCTAATTGAGAGAGCTACCCCCCTCTTCAGCTCCACCCATAGGCCCCTAAGCAGTTCCTCTTTGGGATTACCTTATAGGATCCTAAATATAAGCCATAAAAAAGGGAACTACTTAGGGGCCTAAGGGTATAAACTTCTTCTCTGCTTCAGCGACGCTGCCTCTCCAGCATCTGCTGACTTGGGAACTCCCAAGACCTCAGCAGCGAGGATTGGCATGGGTGCTCCTCGTTTGGGACTAGGTTTTAGCTACAAGTTTTAGGGTTTGGTGCTGGTGCTTATAGGGTTTAGGATTTAGGGTTTGGTGCTTATAGGGTTTAGGATTTATGCCTGTTTTTGGCAGGGGGGTGGTGGCAAGGGTGGGAAACAGGGTTGTAGGAATTGGAGGATTTGGGCTTGAGGGATTACCGCTCAGGGCTTGGGGGTTTCACTGTAGCTAGGGCTTGTTCTTGTCGTGCTTTAAAGTTCCGGGTTGTAGAGCTTGGAGTTCAGAGTTTCAATGCTCCAGCCTCAGCATTTCAACAATAGGGTTTTCCCGCTTCGTGGCTTCAGGGTCTTGCAGCTGCGGGCTATAGCTTTCGCTGCTGGGCTTTGCGGTCTTAGTCTTCCAGTGGCAGAGCATGGGCTCCCGATGATATCTGACATCTTCGGCTGATATCGCTTCTGCTCCCAAACACCACCTCCTCCTTTAAGAAAGAACCTGAGCTCGCTGCGGCCTCCACTCCTCCGCTGTGATGTCCCACCAGAATAGTGATACCCTTACTGTAGGAGCCTTTATAATTGGACTAGGGCCATGGGGTATACTATACTGTATCTAGAAAAGGAACCCTGAGGAACAGTTTTGGTAATTATTTAAGCTTCTACATAATATGTGTAAAGACTGCCTGTTTGGAAACACCGGACCCCGTTCTCTGAGCTCCATCGCCACCCAGGGATCCTCCTCGCGCGTAGCGCGCACCTGCCAAAATGCTGAAGGTTCGTCGGGGGCCGTAGGGTTTGGGGCACAAGCTGGGGTTTTAGGGTGCAGGGTTTTATCATGATTGCGGACTTGTGGAGGATCCGAGCACGCTCAAAGTCGGGCTGTAGGGTTCTTCCAGAGCTTAGCAGGCCAGGCTGCAAGCAGTCCGTGCCCAAACAAGCGATTCTGCACAACGAGCCACCTACGAGCTTTGTAGCTAGGGTCCACCGATCCTCTAAGTTGTATTCCGCTGCACGTTTGATGATACAAAGATAACGTTTGATGATACAAAGATAGAAGCATACAACCAACGCACAAACCGTTCAAATGTGATCAGCACGATACTTTAGGATGTCCTAGGATTGAAATCAAAAATTGCCCGTCCAGGGCTTGAACCCGGACGGAACCCCTCGACTCCAGCATTCTCCCGAAGGTAACTTTGTTTCCACATTAACCCTTGAAGAAGGAACTGCAAGTTCATGCTTTCTTGTGTTTGACTGACTACGACTACGACTGACCATACATTCAGAAGCATCAACAGTCCAAGCCAAAACCGACATTGACTAACTGACTTGTGTGGCCCGAACCAGTTACAGACGGACTGACTCGGTTTCCTTCGCTCCGGACTGTCTTACCGTGGAGAGTGCTCAAGTCAGTCCCGTGCCACGTGAAAAAGCACAACATGTTGATTCCCTGTCCGAGACGTGCTGTACAAGTCAAAGGACAACGGAGAATGCTGCATGCCATGCGACACATATGCACAATGGTCGAAGAGGCAAGTTCCTGAGATTTCTCTACCAAAATCTCTGTACCCCTCCTTCAAGCATTGTGGGCGATTCGTATCTGCACGTGTCTGCATGCGCAGTAGCTCGTGCACCTATTCCGCCTCTTCGCGCAAAATCAACCATGATAGGGTTTCACCACGTTCAAATAAGCGTCAATCACTTGCTGCTCCACCGCCAACGCAAAATCTCTCGCTGCCGCAGCACCGTCATCGCTCTCCACCAAGATTTCAGCTATCGACGTAGGCATGCCTTCTTCAGGCCCGAACACGCGGTCGCCCGGCTTGATATTCGGCGCCACATACAAGATGCCTTCTCTCTGCTTGAACGCCTCGAAGATCTGTCGGTCGGGGATGCAGCCCCCGCGCGGCGCATTGCAGCAGGCGTAGGCGACGGCCTTTTTGGGCACGTCTGCGGCGCATGGATTGCAGGGAATTCCGACAGCGATGAGCAGTTGCTCCACCACCAGGTCGACGCCGAAAGTGTGCTTATGCATTTTGCGGACAGGCCCGCCGCCCATCCGCGCATTCACCTCGATGAGCCGCGGCCCTCTCGACGTGTACTTGCCCTCAACGTGGAAGATGCCGTTCTCGAAGCCGATAGCTTTGACGGAGTCTTCGGCCATTTTGCGCAAGTCCTCAACCTTTTCACGAGGCAGCAGCGACGGCATACAGCCCGACGCTTCGCTGAAGTAGGGTTCGTGAGTCGGCCAGTTGTCCGACACGGTGACGTATCGCGCCTCCCCGTTGCTCATGACGATGTCGATGTCCACCTCGTCGCCATCCAAGTACTCCTCCAACATCACCGTCGCGTCAATCACTTTGCCAAGATCGACGCCGTCGGGAGCGGCACTCGCGCGCACAACATCAAAAGTGCCCTGCGAAACCACCAGCCCGCGCATTACCGATACGACTTCGCGGTACACCGACAGCAACTCTGCCTCGTTGTTCACCTTCTGCACGCCCAACGAACTGCAGCCGCCCACAGGCTTCAGCACAGACGGAAAGCCGACCTTTCGCGCAGCCTCCTCGAGTTGAGATTCGTTCTCGATGAGCATGTTGGCGATGGAGGGCAGCCCGGCGTCCGCCATGACTTTCCGGGTGAGGTGTTTGTCGCGCGCGATGTCCACCGCCTCGGGCTTGGGGCCGGGAAGCCCAGTTGCCTCGGCCAGACGAGACGCCATCGGCACACTCAGCTCCCAGAACGTGCAGATGCCGTCCGCTGGACCCGTCGCTTCGTCCGCGCTGAGCTCCTTGATGGCGGCGAGTGCGCTGTTGAACACCGACTCAGCGTCCATCCCCATGTCCACGGGGATGAACTTCGCGATAACCTGCTCCTCGACAAGCGACTTCGCCCACGAGTCAGGTGTGTCGATGATGACTGCCTTGACGCCCATTTTGGCGGCTTTGCGGTAGATGAACTTCTTCCTGGCATAGCCGGCCGAGAAGAAGACGATGGTGGCTCCGCGCAGCAGCTTGCACCTCAGCTCCTGCTCCTCGGGGCCTGCGTGCGAGAGCGCTTCGATGGGGATCCTGCGCAGCATCTCGCAGGTCGCGGTGGGCTCGTGGGATCTGAGGGCAGGCGGGCGAGTGGTCAGCTTTCAGAGCACAGAATGTTGCAAGACCTGCTGATTAGAATAAACGCTGTCCACACTTTCCTTTCTTATTTGGAAGTCTACCTATATATCTTATGATCAGATATCTTGAAGGGTACTACGTTCAACGACGATGACTTGGCGCTGTATGGGTGAGTATAAAGGTTGTCCAGCACTCAGTGCATGTCGGAGATAGCCCGACAGATGCTGCCACATGCTGGGTGTTCTCATACGATTCCCCAGCTCTTGCCATCCTAAACCCTAAATCCCATGACCGCAGAACCCTGTCCAAATAAACCCTCAACCCTACAACACCCCCCTCCCCCGACGCCACCCTGAACCCTCATCCCCTCAACCCTTAAACCCTCAACCTTAGACTTAGACATCCTGGTACCCTGGCCAGCCTCCCCAAGTTTCTCTACCCTTCCGCTCTGTGCCCCCGCCCCCCAGATTCCTAGACACCCTATAAACCCAAAACCCGAAACCCTACACCATCGCCATTGACTAGACTCGAATCGATTCGAGTAACTTCTTCGCATGAGATTACACCAGCTAGATTATATGGCCCACATGCAGATCGGTACCTCGGTGACTTGAGGATACTTGGGCTAGGATCGGTTGAGTGCAAGTCCTGGGCAGTAGGTTCTGGCAATACTCTTGCAATGTAAAGAGTCTCCAAGCTTCGGGGTCGATAGACGACAGAGCATTGGAACAAAGAAGAATAGGTTTGGGGGTATAGTACACTAAAGTTGTAGTTCATACGGAGCCCTAAGGAAGGGTTCAACAGTACACAAGATAACACTGAACTATTCAGGCCTCTGTAGTACACAAACCCATGAAGTCTTTTTCAGAGCTTTCCCCGGCTTCTGAAAACCTTCAGCTCATAAGCCTGAATCCAGATGCTCCCGCGCCATTTTCTTCACAACTGCCGCTCCCGACGAACAGGCATCTCTTGATTGGGCCGGTTGCTATCTACTTGTCAGGACCGGGAAGGACACTTCTGAACCTACAGGTTCGCAGACAGCTGCGGCGCCAAGACCTCGAAGTTCAGGCCCTAAACCCTAAACCCGGAACCCTAAACCCTAAACCCCCAAACCTTAAGCCCTCTAACTTCAGGCGTGTCGGATGTGCGATGTGCGGTTTGCATCATCCTGGCAGTACTTTTGGAGCTTGGGGCTTCAGGCTACCGCCTTCCAGGGCTGCGGTTGGTCCAAGAACAAACCACCAGTGTATACCCCATAGGCTCCATGGTAGTGCCTTTTTGTGGTTTGTATGTAGGATCCTATAAGGTACTCCCAAGCAGGAACTACTACGGAGCCCACGGGTATAGTCTCCGTTTACTTCGGATCCCGAACCTTCTTGAGGGTTGGAGTCTCATAGGGTCACTCAGGGAGTCCGGAAAATACATAGGGTTATAAGGTTTAGGGTTTGGGGTTTAGGGTTTGGGGTTCGGGGTTTAAGGTTTTGGGGTTTAGGGTTTAGGTGGGTTTTGAAGAATCACCCGCCAAGGAAGCAGTCCTAAAAGTGCTTGAAGCGGACCTGTTGCACTGCTTCCATGAGGCTTGAGAGCAACTAACCCTACACCAAGCCGATAAACCCAAAACTCTCAGCTGTGAGCTCCATACTCTTCACCTGCTTAGGAGCCCCTGACCAGCGGACATGATTTCTAGGTTTTGTTTTATCTAGCGAATCTAGCGCTGCGCAGCTGTCCTCATGTCTTCCCGGCTCATGCGGGCCCTCATTGAGAGTGCGAGCTCGTCGCCGGTGCGAGTCCTGGCATGTGCCGGATTCTGAACACAGCATTCGCGGGCTGTTGAGGGTGGGGGGTTAGCTGAGCATCCCGTCCACGCAGAGAGCCCTGGAACCGTTTTTGAATACTACACCACTGCTCAGAAGAGCCCAAAGCCCCAACTACTTAGACCAGCTGCCCGATGAAAGATCCACACCCCACACCCAGAACCATATAATAAAGTTAACTGCTAAATCCGGAACGAAGCATGGGCTTCACCTCAAAGCCTAAAGGCCCTGAGACTTCCGGACCGAAAGCGATAACAGCCCTAAGATGCCCTAAACACACTTCAAGCCCCCAGAGCCCTACAAACCCAACAAAAAACACAGTAAGGCCTCTAAGTCAAGACTAAGGACCTCAAACTATGAACCACGAACATGTGCAGAGACATCATGCTTGTTTATGTACTTGTTTATGCACTTTTTTCTTCATCTATGTTCGAAACCTTCAAATGCTTCATACATGATCACATATATACCTGTGAAACCAAACACCTATAAATAAACAGGCGCACTCACTTTTACCTTAAGGTGAGCGTTTGGGCAAACACGCATATTTTGGAGGGTCCTGGCTTCAGGGCTTGGGGCGTTCAGGGCTTCAGGGCTTCAGGGTGGGAGGGTTCCGATTTTGGCAGCCGAACAACTTGATGGATCTTCAGCGAGCCCCAGTAGCTCAAAAACCATGCTTATGATGCAGTGTCCTGCCTCATTAGCGACTTAATGGTGCCCGAATCGAAACTGAAGCAACCCCTCGTAAACCCCAAACCCGGTGGAAGCGAAATCTCGCCCTTTGTCATTTTCATGCCGATGCCGATCCAGCTCTGCACACGTCGAGGACCGAACCTGGGCAGGGCTTTCTAGGGTTTTAGGGTTTAGGGTTTATTATTGAAGGGTTTCCGAATGTTGGGGTTAAGTTGGCTTGGGTTGTATAGTGACAAAGTGCAAAAAAAGAGCAGATAGGCTGTCTTGATTTAAAGCCGACCGGTAAGTGAGTTGGAAAATTATGAAAAGAATTGGGAATTGGCTGAATGTGCTGCAAAGCCACTCAAGAGAGCGCACTCAAGTCCAACATGTCAAAGGCTTCGCTCTGCAGCACAGTCTGCATGAAGAAGATGTATCTTTGCAGTGTTTTGATAGCTACTGCACGCGTACTGACACGGCGCGACAAGCGCGCTGTCCGTCCCACAAAATCCTCGCTGGAAAACGTGGCCTCGCTTAGTGGGTTGACGGCGAAGCCCATGGATTGCCATTCCTCGTATACCCGTAAAAAAACGTGGTTCAAATAGTGTACCTTCGGCCTCAGCTTGAATAAGCAGAGGGACTGCTTGTAGCACACAGCTACGAGCGAAGCGTAGCCTGTAAGGAACCTGTGCCCAGACTCCATGACAATCTCAGTGTGCGACTTTGACATAAAGTATTCCGCCTCCAAGCATGTTCTGATGGCCAGGTTAATTGCTCTTGCAGTTTCCAAAATCTCCGTGAGGATTTGATCTGCTTCAACTTTTTCTCGGAAATCGGGGCGCTCCAACAGAAACGTAAGGAACTTCATGAACACTGCAGTATCCATGTTCTTCGACCATCTTCCCTCAGGGTATTCCCGCGTTCCATTATATCCCAGAAGGTCTTCTGTAAGATGACCACAATGGAGTTTGTTTTTTGAGCCACGCATCCAGTTTTTCAGGGCTTCATTCAAACAATCGACATTCTTCGCGACGGATTTCTGTCCAAACAGCACCTTCATGGCGTAGATGAATGCACTTGCCGTGAAGTCCAGGCCGACCCCAGCATGCCAAACATGAAAGAAATCTGCTCTGTAAAATGCTGCCAGCGTATCACCCATGTCCAGCAGCATGTACTTTATGAGAGCACCACCATCATCAAGCCATGGTGTCGGGTTGTTGCGGTGGGTGGTTTGCAACCACCCCGGCTCTGTGAAGCCCAGGTGTTCAAAGGGAAAAAATGTATCGTTCTCTGGGTCGTCAAACCCTGCATTACACAACCAGCAACAGCCCTTCTGCATTGATGGTTTCGTCGTGTATCTCTTACGCACATTGTGAAACGAGCGGACCAGCTTGCCGACTTTCTTAACGAAAGGAGAATCTCCAGTGAACCCGATAATAACGATGCGCCCATTTCCTGCCTGCAGCCTCAAAGCCACGCTCCAGGAGCGACTGCAACTCTCGACCCCAAACGTCCATGAGGTCATCGAAGATTCCACCATCTTTTTTTGCAACCAAGCTGCTCAGAACAGAAAACAAGAGCCGCGTGGCCCCCGAGTGTCCCTGCAAGTTGATTCCGAGCTCGATTTCGTTTTCCAAAGGTCGCTTTGCACTTAGGTCCACACGTCTCTTGTTGGAACCAGTGCCAAGGGCTGGAAACATTGACAAAATCTCGATAGGATCCTTTTTAAACCCTCGGCCACCATCCCCATGCAGGTAGTAAGGAATCAACGTGTGAAAGTCAAGGTTCCGACTTGCATCGAAAACCTGGTGTCCTGGGTGAAGTGCTCGAAATCTCTGCCAGAACAAATCAAGAGCTTCAGTAGCCAAGTCGACGGGAACCCCCGATACTCGATGGAAGCAACCTTGTTCACTCAAAACTTCCACCTGGTTCTTGGGGCTGAAGTAAGGATACCTCTCCACTTTGCCAGCTTTTGCCCAGCTAAAGTCAATAGGTAAACCCAAACCATTCTTTCGAAATAGCTCAAACAGGGGAGCATCGGCATTAGACAGTGGCACCTTTGCAATCTTGTCCAACACCGCGCAAGGATCGCGCTTCACGGCCGCCTGAGCATCGATCACCAGATCTTTCGCCGGGACCTTGGCCGAGCAAACTCTGTAAGCTGCACGGAGAATAGTCTAGATTGATGGATGCACATGCAAGAAGGGATCAACCGAACTTCACGAGTCAGGTGTGCATGCAGCAGCACTGTCACAGACTCGGGCTTCCTTTTTTATGCATGCACAGCATAAGCGCGAGATTTCTGAGCTTGGGCGTATGAAGACACACGCACACACACACACACAACAACTAAGATTTTTAAGGATCAATGCAGACAACACATATGCATTCTACATTGGCCGGTACATATATATATATATATATGGGTATATATATATATATAGTGATCGATGAAAGTTTGTACAGCCTACACATCATCC